TACTTGTATGTGAAATTAATGATATTCTTTGATAATTTCTGCATTCTGTTGAATCACCCTTCTTTGGAATGGGCAAGTAAATGGATCTCCTCCAGGCAGTTGGCCAGGTTTCTTTGCATAGATAAGTGAGCACTTCCAGCATAGCACCTATTTGTCAAAACATCTCAACTGGTATTCTGTCAATTCCTGGAGGCTTGTTTTTCACCAATGTCTTCAGTGTAGCTTGGACTTCTTTCAGTACCATCAGTTCTTGACCATATGTCACCTACTGAACATAGACCAATTCTTTTTGGTACTCAAAAAAACTAAATAATAAATAAATAAATAATAAATAAATAATACAGTGACTGCATATTAATTACTTCCATCTTCTTTTGATGCTTCCTACATCATTCAACATTTTGTCCATAGAATACTTCAATATTGCAACTTAAAGCTTGAATTTTTAATTCAGTAATTTCAGAGTGATAAATGCCAAGCTTGTTCTTCTCTTTTGGTTTTCTAACTTCTGGTCATTTCACATTTCATTATAATACTTTACTTTGTCTTCTCAAGCCACCCTTTGAAATCTTCTGTTCAACTAACTGTTTTACTTCATCATTTCTTCCATTCAGTTTAGCTACTCTCCATCCAAGAGCAAGTTTCAGAGTTTCTTCTGACATCCGTTTTGGTCTTTTATTTTTTTCCTGTCTTTTTAACGACCTTTTGCCTCTTCATGTATGATGTCCTGGATGTCATCCCACAACTCAACTGGTCTTTGGTCATTGGTGTTCAATGTGCCAAATCTGTTCTTCAGATTCAGGTGGGATATAATCAGAGTTGTATTTTGTCTCTCGTCGACTTGTTTTAATTTTCTTCAGCTTCAACTTGAATTTCCATACAAACAATTGATGGTCTGTTCTGCAGTGGGCCCCTGGCCTTATTCTGATTGATAATATTGAACTTCTCCATCATCTTTTTCCACAGATGTAGTCAATTTGATTCCTGTGTATTACATCTGGTAGGGCCACATCTATAGTCACAATTTATGTTGTTGAAAAATGGTATTTGCAGAAAACAAGTTGTTGGTCTTGCAAAATTCTATCATCCAGTCTCCCATGTTGTTTCTATCACCAGGGCTATATTTTTCAACTATTGATCCTTCTTCTATTTTCTAACTAGTTACCCTTCTTCATTTCCAATTTTCACATTCCAATCACCAGTGATTATCAATGCAACTTGATTCCATGCCTGATCAATTTTCAGACTGCAGAAGTTGGTAATTATCTTCAATTTTCTTCATTTTTCGCATTAGTGGTTAGTGCATAAATTTTATTAATGGTCGTGTTAAGTAGTCTTCCTTGTAAGTGTGTGGATCTTATCTTGTTATTGACAACATTGTACTTCAGAATAGATCTTGAAATGTTCTTTTTGATGATGAATGCAATGCCATCCCTCTTCAATCCCTGGCATTGTGGACCACAAGTTTGTCTGACTCCAAATGGCCAACACCAGTCCATTTGATCACACTAATGCTTGTTGTTATTGTTGTCATTGTTGTTAGGTGCCATCGAGTCTCAGACTCATAGTGACCCTATGCACAGCAGAACAAAACACTACCTAGTTCTGTGGCAGCCTCATGATACTTGTTTCTATCTGAGCTCATTGTTGCATCCACTGTGCCAATCCATCTCGTTGAGTGTCTTCTTCACTGACCCTCCACTTTACCAGGCATGATATCCTTCTCCAGGGAATGGGTCTTTCTGACAACATGACCAAAGTAGGTGACACAAAGTCTGGCCATTCTTGCTTCCAAGGAACATTCTGGCTGTGCTCCTTCCAAGACAGATTGTCCTTTTAGCAGACCACGGCACTCTTAGCATTCTTCTCCAGCACCACAACTCAAAAGCATCAACTCTTCTTCCGTCTTCCTTATTCATTGTCCAGTTTTCACATGCATTAGAGGTGATTGAAAATACCATGGCTTGGGTTAGGCACACCTTAGTCTTCAAGGAGACATCTTTGCTCTTCATCACTTGAAAGAGGTCTTTTGCAGTGGATTTGCCCAGTGCAATATCATCTGATTGCTGTTTCCATTGGTGTTCATTGTAAAACCAAGTAATATGAAGTCCTTGACAACTTCAGTCTTTTCTCCATCCATCATGAAGCTGTTTATTGGATCAGTTGTGAGGATTTTTGTTTTCTCTATATTGAGGTGTAATTCATAGTGCAGACTGTAGTCTTTAATCTTCATCACTAAATGCTTCAAATCATCCTCCCTTTCAGTAAGCAAAGTTGTGTCATCTGTGCATTACAGGCTGTTAATGAGTCTTCCTTCAATTCTGATGCCATGTTTTTATTCATATAATCCAGCTTCTCGGATTATTTGCTCAGCCAACAAGTTTAATAAGTATGGTGAAAGGATACAACTGTGATGCACTCCCTTCTTCATTTTGAGCCACGCAGTATCCCCTTATTATGTCCAAATGACAGCCTCCTGATCTATGTACAGGTTCCTCATTAGTACAATCAAGTATTCTGGAATTCCCATTTTTCTCAATGTTATCCATAATTTGTTATGCTTTTGTGTAGTCAATAAAGCGTAAGTAAACATCTTTCTGGTATTTGTGCTTTCAGCTAAGATCCATCAACAATGATATTCCTTGTTTTATGTCCTCTTCTGAATCCAGCTTGCATTTCTGGAAGCTCTCTGTCAATATATTGCTGCAACCATTTTTGAATTATCTTCAGTAAGATTTTACTTGCGTGTGATATTAATGATATTGTTCGATAATTTCCATGTTCTGTGAGATCACCTTTCTTTGGAAAGGGTACAAATATGGATCTCTTCCAGTCAGTTGGTCAGGTAGTTGTCTTCCAAATCTCTTGGCATAGCTGAGTGAGTGCCTCCAGTGGGGGATCTGTTTGTTGAACCATCTCAATGGGTGTATTCCATCAATTCCTGGAACCTTGTTCTTTGCCAATTCCTTCAGTACAGCTTCAACTTCTTCCTTCAGTACCATTGGTTCTTGATCATATGGCACCTCCTGAAATGGATGAACATCAAAAAATTCTTTTTGGTATAGTGACTCTGTGTATTCCCTCCATCTTCTTTTGATGATTCCTGCATCATTCAATATTTTTCCCAGAGAATCTTTCAATATTGCAACTCGAGGCTTAAATTTTTTCTTCAGTTCTTTCAGCTTGAGAGGTGCTGAGCATGTTCTTCCCTTTTGGTTTTCTAACTCCAGGTCTTTGCATGTTTCATCTCTTTTATCTTGCCATTTCTTCCATTTGCTTTAGCTACTCTTTGTTCAAGGGCAAGTTTCAGAGTCTCTTCTGACATCCATTTTTGTCTTTTCTTCCTTTCTTGTCTTTTTAATGACCTCTTGCTTTCTTCAAGGATGATATTTTTGATGTCATCCCACAATTCCTCTGGTTTTCACTCATTGGTGTTCAATGCATCAAATCTATTTTCGACAGTCTCTAAATTCAGGAGGAATATATTCAAGGTCATATTTTGCCCCTCATGAACTTGTTTTAGTTGTCTTCAATTTCAGATATTTCAATATTTTTCTCCATTGCCTCTTTCCACAAATGTAGTCAATCTGATTCCTGTGTATTCCATGTGGTGAAGTCCACATGTGTAGCCATCATTTATGCTGTTGATAAAAGCTATTTGCAATGAATAAGTCATTGGTCTTGCAAAATTCTATCATATGATCTCCAGCATTATTTTCCAACTACTGGTAACTTTTCTTTGTTTCCAACATTTGCATTCCAGTCACCAGTGATAATCAACACATCTTTGATTGCATGTTCAGTCAATTTCAGACTGAAGAAGGTGGTATAAATCTTCAATTTCCTCATCTTTGGCTTTGGTGGTTGGTGCATAGATTTGAATAATAGTAGTATTAATTGGTCTTCCTTGTAGGTGTATGGATATTATCCTATCACTAACAGTGTTGTACTTCAGGACAGATCTTGAAACACTTTTTGTGATGATGAATGCCACACCATTCCTCTTCAATTTTTCATTCCTGACATAGTAGATCATATTGTTGTCTGATTCAAAATGGCCAAAACCAGTCCATTTCAGCTCACTAATGCCTAGGATATTGATCTTTATGTGTGTCATTTCATTTTTGACAACTTCCAGTTTTCCTAGATTCATACTTCATACATTTCATGTTCCAATTATTAATGGATGTTTGCATCTGTTTCTACTCATTTTGAGTCATGCCACATCAGCCAATGGAGGTCCTGAAAGCTTTACTCTATCCATAGCATTTAAGGTCATCTCTAGTCTGAGAAGTCAGCTCTTTCCCAGTCAAATGTTGAGTGCCTTCCTACCTGATAGGCTCATCTTCTAGCACTATATTGGACAGTGTTTCAGGGCTATTCATAAGGTTTTCACTGGCCAATTGTTTGAGAAGTGGATGGCCTCTCCTTCTTCTGAGTCTATCTTAGCCTGGAAGCTCCACTGAAACCTGTCCACCATGGGTGACCCTGCTGAAATTTTACACCAGTGGTATAGCCTCCGGCCTTACAACAACACGTAAGCCTCCACAGGATGACAAGCTGGCAGACAAGTTCATCTCCTTTACTTGTTCTGAACCCCTCTGGGCCCACCTACCTCAGTCCCCAGCCTTAAAATAGAGCCACCCCCAACCAAAAAGCAGCCCCGGAGCCCCAGGCCTGGGATACTGATTTTAATGTTCCATTTCATTTTTGACTTCTAATTTCCCTTGGTTCATACTTCATACACTTCATTTTCCAAGCACTAATGGATGTTTGCAGTTGTTTCTTCTCATTTTGAGTCATGCTACATTAGCAAATGAAGGTCCCCAAAACTTTGCTCTATCCACATTATTAAGGTCAACTGCATTTTGAGGAAGCAGCTCTTCTGCAGTCATATTTTGAGTGCCTTCTAACCTGAAAGGCTCATATTCTGGCATTCTATCAGACAATGTTCAACTGCTATCCACAAGGTTTTCACTGAGCCCAGCACTTAATAAAAACTCAATTAATGTTAGTTTTCATTATTGTCTTTTGATCTCACATATAGAACTAAATTACTTTCCTAAATGTAATTTAGGAAGTCATTCCTGGATGGTGGGTTTTATTTCGTAGTCTCCATATGGAGCTCTGAGAACTGTGAAATAAAGAATCATCCTAGTAAGCTGATTGTAAAATATGCCCATCCTTTGTGGCTGTAGTGTGTTTGCACAGCTATACCAGTGATGTGTTGGTAAATATTTAACAATTGGCTCTCCAGGGGCAAAGGGTTGGGGAGGGGAGAATAAAAGTCTTGATTTATAGCATTTATTCATTTCTATGTTCAAATACTTTCACTATAGCCTGTTTCAAGGTACCAATGGGATATCACTGAACGCATAGTTGAGTGGAGATGCAGAGGCTCTCACAAACCAGTATGAACCAGTTCCCATGTGATTTATATATATATATATTGATTACATACACACACACACACATGTTGTTGTTGTTGTTGTTATGTGCTGTCGAGTCAGACCCGACTCATAGCAACCCCTCCTTAGGTTTCTGAGGCAGTATCACCATGGAAGTAGATTGCTCAACCTTCCTTCTGAGGAGTCAAGTGGTTAGCACTTAACTGCTAACCACCAGCCTTCTGGTTAGCAGTCAAGTGCCTTAGGCACTATGCTACCAGAGCTCCCCCTGACACACATACACACACGTATATATAATGATTTATATCCTGCTCCATTCCTCAAATGTGAGGTAATTAACTGAAACTATGGGAAAAATACAAATAAATGTAAAAATCAGAATAAGAAAAATAAATATGTGTCAGAAAAATGATCAAGACCAGAATACAGAGATGAAATGTGAAGCCAGAGAGTAGCTTTCATGGATGCCATAAGGACTTGCAGAGGTATTGTGAGTATCAGAAGCTTATTAGATATAAGACAGTCAGAAGCCTGAATGTGGAAGGCTGAACATTTTCATCTTTTCCGTTCTCTGTATGTTTATGTCCCTTTCATTCTCTTTCAATATTTAGTGAGATGTCCTGATAGTTCCAGTCTATCAGGTGAGCTGAGGAGAATCAAGGAAAGAGTATTCATCTCTACTTCTGCAAAACCATCCAAAGGGAAGAAATGTCTCATGTATGCTAGTTCCCAACTGAATTGATGCTGACTCATGGCAACCCCATGTATGCACAGTAGAACAGCACTTCATAGGGTTTTCAAGGCTATGGCCTTTTGAAAGCAGATCAAGTCTTTTCTTCTGAGGTGCCCTGATGTGTTTGAACTGCCAACCTTTCAGTTAGTAGCTGAGCATGTAACCATTTGCACTACCCAGGGACTCCTTGTCCCATGGATAAGAAGTATTAAAATCTGTAATAAAAGTAAGAAAATAGAGGGCCTAAAGAGTGCTCCCTCCCTGAGATTCTTCTTACAGTGCTAAAATATTCTAACTTCCAATTTGTTTTATTAAGAGAAGCAATTTTCTTTAAATACTTTCTTCTCTTTTTCTCCTATCAACATACTTTCCATTCACTTTGTCCTCCACTTCATATTTTTCCTCATCTTTCTACTTTCCTCTACATCTATCATTTTCTCTTACTGACTTTTTCCTGGTCTTTATATCATGTTCTGTGATTCTTCCTACCACCCCAACTTTTAAACTCTTATATCATTCTTAATATCTGAATAGTGCTATTTCCATTAATTCCACTCTCACTCATGAGTTATATTTTCATGCATATTGCTCCACCAACCCATTCCATATACTCACCAGGCAAAAACTGAGTCCTATTAACAGTCCAACACCGACCACGGTAGCAGCCAAAGAAATGAGGATGATGACCCACGGCTCCAAATATCCACTTGGCTTAATCATATTTGTTGGTGTGTGGCTCACACTAACCATGTTTGTGCCTGTGGTCACTGAGCCTGTTTTATGGGAGGTGGTGCTGGTTTCACAAATGGTGGTTGGCTCATGGATAGATCTTGGTCTGGAGGTGCTCATACCTGGAGCTGAGGTGGTAGATGATGTTCCAGTAGTGGATGTGTCTAGGGATGTTCCAGGGATGATAGAGCTGATAGTAGGTATCATAGAGTCCATTTCAGAGGCTGAAGTGATAGAGATGGGAGGGGATGATTTGTGTCCAGTAGTCTTGGTGCCTGGGGAAAATGCAACAAAAATAATCTATTTCTAGGATGGAATAACAGAGGTAGGTTTAACTGTCAGAGTAGAGATGACTGACTCAGATTCACCTGTGAGTATGATTACTAAATGTTATGGATTAAATTATGTCTCCCATACCCCCAAATTGTGTGTTATAAATCTTAATCTTTATATCTATGGTTATAATCCCATTTGGAAATAGTTTTTGGTTATGTCAATGAGACAGTATTAGTGTAGGTTATGTCATAAGTCAATCTTTTTTGAGATATAAAGAGATTAAACAAGCAAGTGAGCAAACAGAGATGGAGGAAGAGAAATACCCAAGCCAGATGAAGATAGCCCAGGAGCAGAAACTCAAAAAAGACAAGGACCTTCCTCCAGAGCTGGTAGACAAAGACCTTCCTCACAATAGCTGGCACCTTGAATTCAGACTTCTGGTCTCCTAAATGTGAGAAAATAAATTTGTATTTCTTAAAGCCACCCACCTGTGGTAATTTGGTTATAGCAACATTAGGTAACTAAGACACCAGAGTAGAAATGGTTGTGCTTGTTGCAGAGGTAGTAGAATACAATCTATTGGTCATGGTGGTGTTGGCGGTGGATTGAGTGAAAAGGAGTAGAATTTGTTACTATTTTAGCATTGGTCATTGAAGCAGAAGTGGTTGCACTTGGAGAAAAGATGATAGATTCTGATTCAACAGTGATTGTGTGGCTGCTGGAGAAAGAAGAAGAATCAGACACCCTGAAGACATAGTGGTGACTGTGACAGAGGATTAGATAAAGGTGGCTGGACATGGAGCAAAAAGCGAGAAAAATCTCATGTACTAAGTATAATGAGTTTGACAGAGTTAGAAGATGATCAGGGAAAAAAGATATGACCATGAGAAAGCAGTATTGGGCAACAAGCTATTTATTGGGGTGGACACATTGACAGCTGCATGCAGGGAACAGTCCCCTCCCCTTCTCCCCCTCCCCTACACCAGGAAGTTTGCCAGAGCCAAGTGGCACTGGGAGCCACAAGAGGAGGACAGCAAGAAAATATTCAGGGAATAGAAGTGGTGAGGCTTATGTATGCCTATTCTCTGCCCTTATGCAGCAAGGTAGAGAGTTTCTGAGTCAGAGAGCTCCAAAGGACAGACACAACTGGGGTTCTTTATAACTAAAGTTTTTTTTTTTTTTAAATTTATCTAGGGTTAGCAGATGTTGGGCATAGTATTGTGGGGTATGTAAAGCAGGCAGGCTTTAAGTGGCTAAACATCTGCATATTTGGACTACTTTCTAAACAATTGGAGGTGTACAAATTTGAGTTTGGTGCCAGCAGACTCTTTTTTGGTTAATGAGCCTCAGCTTAAACAAGAAGTAAACAACCTGGAGCAAATGGATAGAGGCCACTTTTGTCTCATTTATATGTGATAACAAGGGTGGTGATCATTGGAACAGATGTGGGTAGACGTAGGGTAAGAGATGATTGGCTCTAATGCAGTGGCAGTTGTGTACGTGGTGATTTTGACTGAGCAGAGTTGTGGTGGCTGTGGTTGGGATTAATTATGTGGTGGCATATTATGTGGTTGGCATATTAATGTGGTGGTAATTAATTGTTGGAATGTTGTTGTTGTTGTTGTTATGTGCCATTGAGTTGGACCCGACTCATAGCGATCCCTCTTTGGGTTTCTGAGGCGGTATCACTATTGAAGTAGATTGCCCAACCTTCCTTCTGAGGAGTGGCTGGTGGGTTTGAACCACCAACCTTCGGGTTAACAGTCAAGTGCTTTAGGCACTATGCTACCAGAGATAGATATAAATATGTTTAAGGTAGAGATGATTAAATTTGAAACATTTAGGTAGTTGTGGTAATGTGGCTTGAGGAGTAATAGTCATGCTGGGTTAGGAGATCTAGAAGCTCTTATAACTTTGATGTTAAATGGATGTGGTCAAAGCACATGATAGAATCTGATACAGCTCTGGTGTTTGTTGCCTGAGTGAAAATGAATAAACTAAGAGCAGAGGTAGAATCACTGATGTAATAGTAAAGAGACAAAATTGGAGTGCTAGGAAGTACACATAGAAGAATCAGGAGGAAAAAAGTGGCTGTGGTAAATGAAGTTGAAATTGATTACAAAATATTACCTTTTAAGGCTGTACTGGAGGGTACAATGCTTGTCAAGATAGTAGAGGCAGAAGACACTGGTGCTGTCGAAACAGTTGAGGTAGCCGGAGTAATAGCAGATGCATCACTTCTCCCAGAAGTAGTTGTTGGGGTGCCCAGAGACACCTCACTTGTTATGCCAGCTGTGGGCAGAGTGTTGAGGGAAGACACACTACTTGTCTCACCAATTGTATTCAGCATGTGAGGAGAGGATGCTTTCTCTGTTGTATGAGCTGTTGTCCAAGCTTCTAGGGGAGGTGTCTCATTTGTGATAGTTGTGATCACATGAGTTGGGGAGAACTTGTCACCTGTTATGGTGGCTGTGGTTGAGGTGTCTGATGAGACGGTATCACTTTTTTGTTTGGATGTGATCACAGAGGACATACTACTCATTATATTGGCTGTAGATAGGGGGATTGGAGAGGAGGTACTACTTGCTGTGCCACCAGTCACACTGCTGGAAGAGGACATGTCACCTATAGTGGTGGCTGTGGCTGAGGTGTCCAATGAGATGTCACTTGTTGGGTTGGATGTGGTCATGGAGGATGCACCTCTGGTCATGCTGGCTGTATTCTGGGTGGCTGAGTTGGGAGTCCCATTTATGACACTGGTCAGATGGCTGGAAGACATGTCATCTGTTGTAGTGGCTGTGGTTGGAATGTCCAATGAGGAGGTATCACTTTTTTGGTGGGATGTTGTGATGGAGGACACATCACTGATCATAATTGTTGGATTCTGGGTGGCTGGGGAGGACATCCCACTTGTGACACTGATCAGACTGCTGAAGTAGGACATATCACCTGTTGTGCTGGCTGTTGTTGGGGTATCATATGAGGAAGCACCAGTCTTTGGGTTTGGTGTGAACATGGAGGACACACCACTGGTCATACTGGGTATATTGTGGCTGGCTGGGAAGGATGACCCACTTGTGACACTGGTCAGACTGCTAGAGGTAGACATGTCACCTGTTGTGCTGGCAGTGGTTGAAGTGTCATATGAGGAGATGTTGCTTGTTGGGTTTGTTGTAATCACAGAGGATGCATCACTGTTCTTATTGGCTGTGTTATAGGCGGTTGGAGTCTGCATCCCACTTGTGACACTGGTTAGACTGCTCGAGGAGGGCATATCACCTGTTGTGCTGGTTGTGGTTAGAGTGTCTGATGAGGAGGCATCACTTTTTGGGTTTAGTGTGGTCATGGAGGACACACTACTGGTTATACTGGCTATATTCTGGATGGTTGGAGAGTACGTCTCACTTGCTGTGACGCTGGTTAGACTGGTGGAATAGGCCATGTCACCTGTTGTGTTGGCAGTGGCTGGGGTGTTCCATGACGAGACATCACTTTTTTGATTTTGTGTGGTCATGAACAGTGCACTACTGGTCACACTGGCTGTATTCTGGATAGTTAGGGAGGACATCCCATTAGTTATGACACTGGTCAGACTGCTGGAGTAGGACATGGCACCTGTTGTGCTGGCTGTGGCTGGGGTGTCTGATGAGGAGGCATCAATTTTTGTGATTGGTGTGGTCATGAAGGTCACACTGCTGGTCATATTGTCTATAGTCTGCATGGTTGGAGAGTACACCTCACTTGTTGTGACACTGGTTAGACTGCTGGAATAGGACATGTCATCTATTGTGCTGGCTGTGGTTGGGTTGTCTAATGAAGAGGTGTCACTTCTTGGGTTTGGTGTGGTCATGGACAACACAGCACTGGTTGTACTGGCTGTATTCTGGATGGCTGGAGAGGATGTCCCACTCTCTGTGACACTGGTTAGACTGGTGGAATAGGACATGTCACCTGGTGTGCTAGCTGTGGTTGGGATATCATATGAGGAAGCATCAGTCTTTGGGTTTGATGTGGTCATGGAGGACACACCACTGGTCTTACTGGGTGAATTCTGGATGGTTGAAGAGGACACCTTACTTGCTATAACACTGGTCAGAATGCTGGAGTATGACATGTCACCTGTTGTGCTGGCTGTGGCTGCAGTGTCCAACGAGGAGGCATCACTTCTTGGGTTTGTTGTAGTCATGGACAGTATACCACTGGTCCTACTGGCTGTATTCTGGATGGTTGGAGAGGATGTCTCACTTGCTGTGATGTAGGTTAGACTGCTGGAATAGGACATGTCACCTGGTGTACTAGCTGTGGTTGGGGTATCATATGAGGAAGCATCAGTCTTTGGGTTTGATGTGGTCATGGAGGACACACCATTGGTCTTACTGGGTGTATTCTGGATGGTTGGAGAGGATGTCCCACTCACTGTGACACTGGTCAGACTGCTGGAATAAGACATGTCATCTGGTGTGCTAGCTGTGGTTGGGGTATCATATGTGGAAGCATCAGTCTTTGGGTTTGATGTGGTCATGGAAGACACACAACTGGTCTTACTGGGTATATTCTGGATGGTTGGAGAGGATGTCCCACTTGTGACACTAGTCAGACTGCTAGAGGTGGACATGTCACCTGTTGTGCTGGCAGTGGTTTGAGTGATATATGAGGTGTCACTTTTTGAGTTTGTTGTAATTGCAGAGGATGTATCACTAGTCTTATTGGCTGTGTTATAGATGGTTGGAGTCTGCATCCCACTTTTGACACTGGTTAGACTGCTTGAGGAGGACATATCACCTGTTGTACTGGTTGTGGTTAGAGTATTTGATAAGGAGGCATCGCTCTTTGGGTTTAGTGTGGTCACGGAGGACACACTACTGGTTATATTGGCTGTATTCTGGATGGTTGCAGAGGACATCCCATTTGCTGTGACACTTGTCAGACTACTAGAGGAGGGCATGCCTCCTGTTGTGGTGGCTGTTGTTAGGGTGTCATATGAGGAAGTGTCACTTTTTGGGTTTGATGTAGTCATCGAGGACACACCACTAGCCGTACTGACTGTATTCTGAGTGTTTGGGGAGTATATCCCACTTGTTATGATGTTGGTTAGACTTGAGGAGGACACGCCACCTGCTGTGTTGGCTGTGGTTTGGGTGTCTGATGAAGAGGTACTACTTCTTGGTCTGGCTGTGTTCCAGGTGGATGTGTGGCTTTTCCCTGTAATATGCAGTGGGAATTTATGATCATATATAACAACATTTCTCCAGCTTTCTTTCTTTCTTTTTTGCTCTTCAATAGCTCTATCTGCTTTTTTGAAATTTAAAAATCAGTATTATCCTTGGCTTTCATAGTACATGGCCTTGACTTTCTTGCAGTCCTTCTAATATGTTACTAAAATATGTATTTACCTTTTTCCTATTGATATGTATTTTCTCACTTTCCTTTGTGACTGTTTTATCTTTATCTGGTTAGGGCTTTTTAGTTTTTTCTTTGATTGCTTTTTATTTGTTCAAGTAACAACATTCACTAACTTTGTGTCTCTGTTTTGCTCTGAAATCATGATTTAATTATGCCATTGACATAATTGGCATGATCTCATTCTTGTCAAGCTTAAAATGTCATTCAATATAAAATTTGTTTGTAAATATTTATGGAGCTTTTATTCAAAATCTGGAAAAAATTAAAATACCCCTTAACTGGTTAATGGATAAGCACACTATGGTATATCCATACGATAGAATACTAACTACTCAGCCACAAAAAGGAACAAATTACTGATGCATGCAATAACAGAATTTCAAATGAATTTGTCCAAGTGAAAGAAGCTGGACTCAAAAAGTTATATATTGAGGAGTTCACTCATATGACTTCTGGAAAAGTTAAAACAATTGGGTAGAAAACAGATCAGAAGTTTCCAGGGGATTGGCTGAGGTGAGAAGTTGGCTACAAAGAGTCCTGAGGAAAATCTGAGGGGTAGTAGAAATATTCTGTGTTTAGATTATAATAGTGGTTACATGGATAAACATTTGTCATAACTCATGGAACTGTATATCAAAAGGTGTGAATGTTTTTGTTTGTAAATTATCCCCTAATTTAAAAAACCATACACATTAAGCAAGCAATGGATAAAGATAATTAAAATATTGTACATTATTTTTTTCTTGAAACAAATCAAACCTATTGCCATAGAATCAATTCCAACTCATAATGAGCCTATAGACAGAGTAGAATTGTCCCATAGGTTTCCAAGGCTGTAATCTTTACAGAAGCAGACTGCCACATCTTTTTCTCATGGGTGGCTAGTGGATTAAAATTTCTGACCTTCCAGGTAATAGCTGAGTGCTTAAACATTATGCCACCAAGGAGAAATCAAGGACAACTGTTTATGGAGCTTTAGCAATGAATTGGATGTTGGTTCTATTTATTCAAATTCCAATCCCTTCTCCCCCAGTGGTGGTTGGAAATGATGGATTTGGACATTCTGAGTTTGATATACCTATTAGACATCCAGGGGCTCTGGTAGCGTAGTGCCTAAGGCACTTGACTGCTAACCAGAGGCTGGCGGTTCAAACCCACCAGCCACTCCTCGGAAGGAAGGTTGGGCAATCTACTTCCGTAGTAATACTGCCTCAGAAACCCAAGGAGGGGCGCTATGAGTCGGGTCCAACTCAATGGCACATAACAACACAACAACATGAGACATCCAAGAGGCTATGTCCAGTAGGCAGTTAGATGCCTGAGCTTAGATCTCAAGAGACATCACACGAAGAGACATAAAATTCTGAGTCTATTGAATATAAATTGTCTTCAAAGGCATGAGGATGGGGAAAATCTGTGGGGAGAGTATATCTGGAGAAGAGGTCTCTGAATCATACCTCAGTAAAATGCATCATTCAGAGGTCAAGTATAGGAGGAAGAGCCAGGAAATGAACATGAGAAGGAGCAGCCAGTAAGGTGAGAAGAAAATTCTAAATGATGATATCAAGGAAGCCAAGAGAATAGAGGCTCTATAGAAAAATATGGTGGTTAACTGAATTGATTGCTGCAAAGAGGTCAAGTAAGACAGGAGACTGAGGAGTTCATTGGATGGTGGGACAATATGGAGAAATTGTTTATCTTACTGAGAAGCAGTTTTGCATGATGGGGCAGACTTCTGTTGGTGTGGACAGAAGAGTGAGTGGATATTCATGGGGCCTTGAAGATTTCACAGGACATTCAAAAATAGAGAATAACAGAAGTCTTAACCCAAAAAGGATAAAGAACTAGAGAGAGAACAACAGCAGAGGGGATATATTTTTAAAATGTAGAAAAATAGATAGCAGGTAGATGAGTGGTAACTCTCCAACAGATCAGAGAAAGCTGAAACATGCAGGCCTGCATGGGGGCAAGGAAGATTCAACCATTGGTAAATAATTCACTCTGTGGAATCCTGGAAAGTTTCAGGAATTGCCACCAGGTTCCTCTGAAACTATGGGTGCTGTCTGTGACTACATACAGGAGGAATAGTTGAAATACAATGCTGCTAGATACCATCCCCTAGCCTAGATACCTTCTTCCACTCAAGTAGTTAGGTGAATAAATCTTTCTCCCTCACATAAGCCTGGGGTTTGTCCCTGGAGATACTGAATTGAAGAAGTTCTGGACCAGGGATTCCAAGCACTGCTGAGTGCAGGATTAAAAAGTTGTACTTAAACCATACGATTAAGTGAATGGCTACACACTGAACTGTAAAATCCACATTGCTTCTAGCCCTATTCAGCTTCCAGGACATTGGCAGCTATGCTTATATTATACTCTTAGTTAGGAGTCTGGAGAATTTTTCTTGTAGATGGCGATTAGCCCATATGAGAAAAGACCTGCAGATACTGACATTTTGAGGTTCTCTCCAATCAAAGCTGCCGGGTCTCTGCCAAGTTACCCTACAACTAAGTCCACCAGTTAAAAGAATCCACCCATGCACACAGAGCTTCTAGTCATTAATGTAACTGTCTCATTCTCAAATACAAATGACATTCTGGGATCACCAGATAGTTGAGGAAGAGTTTTTAAGATTAAATAGAGACCTGCAGTATAGTGAATTACTATTATATGGTCCTTATAGCTACTCTCTTGTGACTCCTACAAAATGATTGAGTGGGACTATGCAAATAAGATGCTTGTGGCCTACCAAGAGGGTTGGACAATTTTACTCGGTGCATGGAACCCTTGTGGAGGTGGGACCATGCAAATAGGGTGCATAAAAGCCTTGTAGGAGATTGCTGGGTTTTACCATCCTGGTAAGCTTTTAAAGGGCACCAATTCCAGAGGCTAAGAGGGGACTTTACTACCATCAAAAAGAAGGGCTAGGAGCAGAGCATGTCTTTTGGACCCAGTGTCCCTGCACTAACCTCCAAAGCCTGGGAGACAGAAAGTTGTAACACTGAAGACAATGCAAGACAAGAAGCAGTAGCAAGAAAACAGTAAAAGCAGAACCGGAAGACCAATGTGAGATGGTGCAGTGGGCTTCCTGGCCCATGGACTGAGGTGGCTCCAGTGGGCTTTTCCATCCACAAAGTGAGTTAAAGAGCTGAGAGCCTTTGGGCAGGAGGTTTGCTGGTGGAGCGCTCTGGGCACTTACTAGTGGAGCTAAAGAACTCTGTAACACTTGCCCAATCAGAGTACAGGCCAGGGCTGAGAGGAGCTTGGCCTGAGAGGGTTAAGCGGTGACCTGCACAACTGATAGGGAGTGAGTACAGCAGAGAGAAGGGCTTGTTTTCTTGCATGTCCCAGGGGAGCTGAGAGAGCTGTCCTGCAGTGAAGAAGGGAAGAATGTGTTCTCCACTTCAGGGGAGCCCTTCAGAAGGCTTTGCCTACATACCTCCTGATCCTGATCCTTAGTTGTAGTATGTTGAGCCTCATCTTGAGTTGTACCTATTACTTCCCTAATAAACCCTATAATCATGAGTATGATATGTGAGTTCTGTGTGACCACTGCAATGAATTAGTGAACACCGAGAGAAGTAACAATTGCTGGTGGGAGGGACAGCTGGTGTGAGAATTGGTGAAAAGGTTGGAGACTGAAGAAATCTCTTACATTCATCTCATAGGAATCAGTTTTGGGCTGATCTTGATTCTCCTTTCTCTCCCTGAAGTTAGAGGAAGTCTGACTCCAAGCCATTTTTACAGACCCAAACAAGTATCTTTTTGAAGCGAGTTCAAAGACAACTGAGACAATGCAGAGAGCAAAAACAACTTCAAATGTCCTCATCAAGATAACAGAAAATGTATCAATCACCCATGGGAAAACCAACCAATCAACAAACACATAAAAGATGCCATTTAAAAAAAGAAGATACAGAGAAACAAAGAGATCTCTTTAAATTGATTTAAAAAAAAAACGCACTGCCATCAAGTTGGATCCGACTCATAGCGACCCCTCCTTGGGTTTCCAAGGTGGTATCGCTATGGAAGTGGATTGCCCAATCTTCCTTCCGAGGAGTGGCTGGTGGGTTTGAACCACCAGCCTTCTGGTTAGCAGTCAAATGCCCTAGGCACTACACCACCAAAGCTTCAATAAATTGATAAAGAAAAATTTTCGAAATTCACCAGAGAGATTAGAAGAACTCAAAAGCTAAGGTAATTGCCCCAAAAGGAAAATAAAATTATAAAGTTGGAAGACAAAACAAGAAATTAGAGTGTCATATCAAGAAGGTAAAAAATACAAATGATAATATTGCCAGAAGGACAACAGAGAAAAAGATAGGAGGCAATTACCAAAGAAAAAAATGAAAGAAAATCTCCCAGAACTGAAAGACATGATTTTCTACTGTATGAATTTGTGACACAATGAAAGTAGAATCCATATATTTTACTATATTTTAGAACAACACCAATGGTTTTAAAAAAATTGCAAACCTTTCAGAGAAAGAAAAAAAAAGTCTTTTACAAATGACCAGTAATCAAAATAGTATGAGACTTCTCAGTCT